ATTAATAGACTGACTGGTATAATCTAAGTAGAATCATATAGTTTACAATTCCTGGTGGAGCTAAAGTGAACATGTGATGCTGGATTTCCTTCACAAGTGTACTAATACATGAGAACAGATACCTGTGATACCCAAGTTTAGTATTTTAAAAATGAACAAACAGGACTTTAATCTATACTTGGAAACAAATGGATAACCAGGGTTAATATTTGTTACTCTTATTTTGCTTGTTTGTATTCTTTGAGTATTTTAAGTCTGACTATGTATATGGGCCTGTAAGGCACTCAAGTCAGCAAGAACTGGAGCAGTAAATAAGCCTAGTAAATTGAATAAGTAAAATGTAACTACTGATGAGCTGCATAAAGACAAATGAGAGTCAACTGCTGTTCTTCTGACTGACCTACTTGGAGACTTCAAGTACAATTCCAGGTATAATAAATTGAAACACAGAGTTTCTTTTAGTTATAACCTACAAGATGGCCTAGACAGGGAAGGGTTTGCCCTCATTTTATCCTTACAACAGGCCATGAGAACTGAGAAACAGTAACTGACTTTCTCCATGGGCTCTATGGCTTTAAATCTGAACTGAGGTCCAGTTGCTACTTCATACTGGAATTCATTCCAATGCATGGATAATTACAGCCAAGACTTTTGGGCTTGTTCTTTTGGGGGGAGAGGGTGCCAAAAGATGCACCTTTGCTTTGTTAACAAGTGCAGTACCTCCACTTCTCAGCAGTGGATCCCAGAAAACCTTGAAAACTTTAAAACAGATCCTTAAGGGGAACCCAAACCATTGCACGATCTAAATTCTTCCATCAACACTTCCCTCAACAAATTCTTCCATCAATATTTCCTTCGGCTGAATCTAGACTGAGGCTCATATTCTCACCTCTACCTTGATCTAGACTAACATTGATTCAAGTTTCAGATCAAACAAGTTGGAAAGGAGAAAAAAAGTTGAGTGTTGCTTCTACACACAACCACAATAGTAGGACTTAACGTTAGTGCTCACTTTAAGTTAGGATGGGGTCACGTGCATTCAGTCACTGAATCACTTTCAGAACTTGATAATTATTAAAATATCATTGGTCTCAGAAGTGGCTGCCCAAATAATGCAACCAATTCTGAGGCTCCACTTCTATAACAAACATATGCCAACATCCAGAATGATGGAAGAGAAACCTTGCTTACCAGGTCCAACATGTTTAAGGATGAAATTTTCATCAGGAAATCGACTGCCATATATAGATTTCCCTCCTGTACCATTGTGATTTGTAAAGTCACCAGCCTGGGACAAAATAATGTTTTTGTTAAATTACATACATGTATTAAAGAATACCAATCCTAGCAGACTGAAACTTGCAGCAATTGGATCATCTTTATAACAACAGATTTGCTGAATAAGATTCACTGTGCAACTAAGTAACTGATTAATTTAAAAATGTTTATCCCACTTTTCTAAAAAACAGAAATTACATGTTAAGCCATGATTTAAAAAAAATGGCTTACACTATATTCGTGTAAGGCTTAAGTCAGGAAGATGGGAATCAGTTACAAACCAGTGGGGAAAGCTTCATCCTTTGCCTGAATATAGACAGGTAGAAAACCCTCAGGAATAAGTAATTCCAGAAAATGGAATCAAAGACTAAAAAGGCCCACTTTTGTGCAGTTGCTAGCCTGGTTTCAGAGGAGCTTGGAACTCAAGGAGAAACATGCTTATCTCTTGTTTCAAGCCAGAAAGGCTCACAAGAGTACTGGTACTCATTTATGTACTTTAATTTTATGTACTTTAATCATGAGCTGTTTATGGATTCAAAGGTCCTACTAGCACCTTGAATTATACCCAAAGTGAATTGGTAACCAATGTGGCGGAAGCAAAAGCAGTTACATGCACTAATATTTTGGAACCATCTTATGCTCTACAATCTTCCTAAAAAGAGATTTTAGAGTAATTAACTTGTAGGCAGCCAGGAAGGGTTTTCTTCTTTAGGAAGAGGAAAATTACTACCTGCCTACAGTACTTCAAACAAAAGAGAATTAGCCCTAATAAAGATTAGTTCTGTGAAAGTTGTGTGAAAAAATTGGTCTCGAACTTCCAAGGATCCTGCCATGTTCATGGCAGACAAGAGGTAGCCACTATCACTTGAGAGATTAGAAATGTAGAATATGCAGGGACCAATTGAAAGAGATTTTATACATGAAAGAATTAGGAACATGAGGATATCAAACTGCCAAAAGGCCTTCTACTTGAGCTTGTGAGTCAAAGGATCATTTCTGGCAGAGAAATTTGGTTTGTTCACTGTCAATGTTGCACAACACAGGGCCAATAATGCCTTTGTTGAATTCAGACGCATCTTCCTTCCCCATGTTTCTAGCCATCAAACTTTCCAGTTCTAGTTCCTCAGTAAATCCAGGACCTATCTTGGCCTTATAAGTAGACAGAAGGCACACGAGAGCCCATGAATCCATAGTTCAACTCATGTCTGAATGCTGCAGAGATCCATCAAAGTTTTATTTATAGGGGAAGGTCATATAAAATCATTTATCATTCCAGGGAGTCATGGTACTGCAGTGTTTGCAAACCATTGCCTTTGAGAATCATGCTAAGAACTGCCAAAACAGTATGCGATGTCCTTTTGTCAGTTATAGTACAGCAGTACATTTTTCATTAAAAAAGGATATAGTTTTGATATGTTTTGGATTCAAGGCAACATGGGTGGCCTTTAAGACCAGAAGTACACCACCTTCAGTGGCAATATCTGAACTGAAGGCCACATCAAGTGGGAAAAAAATAATTAGTGCTATCATGTTTACCTGCAATAAAAAGAGTGGCAGGAATTGATGGGGAAGAAATCCAGCTATTTGATAAAAGACAAACTATTCAGAACTGAAAACGATACATACCATTACTTCACAGTGATCAATCTAGCATAAGAGCAACAGAAAACCTAGAAACTTCCTTTTTTCTCATTGTTGAGTTGGTTAGAATTATGAAAAAAGAGCTGGATATTAAAGGCATTTTAATGAACATACAAGCTTAGCTAGTTATTTAATTTTGCTGTTAACACTGAGGGGATGGTCAGGGACCATCCCACTGATGTGTTCTGTTCACCTTGCTAAACATATTGTTTAAATTTATGCAACATCTCTGTGTCTTTCATCCTTGTAGGCTCTTCGCTCATTTAAATCACGTTATGCATTTTAGGAAAGGCAACCAAACAGCACAGACCTGTTACATGAGTCATATTCTGTCACATTGCTACAAAAAGGTCCACTTGGACAATCCAGAGGGTGGAACTGGATATGACAGCCATATGACAAAGCATTCCTTGCTTACTTTCCCCCCACCCAACTAATTACCTAAACCCATTAAATATCATGAGATCATTTATTGCAGGGTTCCTCAACCTTAGCAACTTTAAGACGGGTGGACTTCAACTCTCAGAATTCCCCAGCCAGCCTGATTTATTGGTTTCTGCTGGTACAGGTAAGGCACAGTCACAACATTATGTTACCATACTGAAGCAAAGGATCAAGAAAAAAACCAGACAAGAAGATAGAGGTTTTGAGACCACATTCAAGTCTTCTTCTTGTGTCTATGAAGAATTCAGCACTGGGTAGCACTGACACTTTTTCATACGCTGCTTCAATGTATCTGCAAGGGGGATGTGCAATGATTTCAACTGATGGCCCTCCAGAAGTGGAGACAGGAATGTGAACAGCTAGATTTGAGTCAATGCATATTCCAGTTATGATGATGATGCAGTACTCCCCATACATTTTATAATTTCCTTTTTTTGAACGCCCTGAAATGTACCATTCACTGGCTTTTGGGAGGGCTCAGCAATTCAGTGAGAATTTTGGAATGGTTGAAGAATATCAAATTGAAGGACGTTTAACCCATTAGACATTTCTTTCCCAACGTGGACCTCTCCAGAAGGATTTGTAATCAAGCATCTGTACTTCAGAACTAGTGTGTCCACTGGCTTGGTGAATAAGGTTTATGGGAGTTGACATCCCACACAACAAATTTCGGGAAGTCTGGACTGCATAGGAATGGCTTCAAAGTCCAGGAGAGCAACTTAATGCATTACATGCAAGATTTATACATCTCATTTCCAAACCTAAGTTCCTCCTGAACATGCCTGGAGCACACCTATCATTTAGCAGGACTGACAGATCAACGACCTGTACCTTTAATTATATTAATTAGCTTTGTCACCCACAGCTTACATTTTAATTGTGGAATGATAGGCATTCTTACTACAGCTCTTTATAATGCACACCTGAATACAACCTACTTTTAAGTAGCAATAGTTCAGATGACAATGCTATTTAGAAAGCCTAAGAATAGAATTCAAACTTATACAGAATGTTCGATGCATCATACATTTTCACTGGACCACTGATGATGACAGAAGCAGAAGGTTCACAGGTGAGGTTATTTATGAAGCATCTAAGCTCTTATTCTTACATTAAGCACTACAAAACTGACTACATCTGTATACAGAAAGTATTCTTTTCTTTGACATGCACACAAACACGCCCCTCACAGAGGTGAGCAATGCTTGAAGGGTTGGGGGCAGGGGGGAATGTGGAAATCTACCACCTTCAAGGGCAGATACAGGAGGCCTTTTGGGGATGTGGTAGCAGAGCTGTGAACTGTGGTGCTGGAGAAGACTCTTAAGAGTCCCCTGGACTGCTAGGAGGTCAAAC